GATGTTACCAAACCACACGGCAGGCCATTAATTTAAGTCCATTGTAAATCCCAAGGTCAGCAGAGCATAGCAGGCTGCTGAGCAACGACACGGCTACATGCAGGGTCCAAGCATGCCATAAGCTAGAGACCAGTCCCAAGTCTTCTCCTTATATGCAGGAAGCAGACCACATACCCAAAGGCAGCTACTGAGCTGCTCACAGTAGATTCCATCATGGAGTTGATTACTAGTCTCATCATGGGGAATACTACATCCAGCTGCCCAGCCACTCAACCAGGCCTAGCCAAGTAGATATACAAATGTAACCATCACACCTACTGAGGACAGTTCCCCTCTGACACATGTGAAGTCCCCATGTGTTGGGATCAACTCCACAGCAACTGGTTTGATTTTTGGTTCCTAAAAATCTCCCCATCATCCTTCACCAGGAATTTCTCACCCATCCCTTTTTCTGCAGCCTCCCACCTAACAGCCCAGCTCCCTGCCCCTTCACTCCCCCAAAATCTTCTCCTGTTGCTCAGCCTACCCCCCAACTCCTCTCCACCCCTTCCTTGTCCTGTTTCTTGTCTTACCCGAGGAATTTCACTCTCTCAGCTTTCTCTTCCACCCTATGTCTTTAGAGTCACACCTTCACTCCACAACTATTTGCTTGACTTCTACTCTGTGACTTGGGTTAGGAACTCAGGAGTTCGTAATCACACAAAAATAAATATATATGATTACAAAGTGCCAAATGTTCTGGAAGGAAACAAAGTATAACCTGAGCTAGTAGCAGGCACAGACTTTAGACTGGAGGTGGTAGTCAGGGAAAGCCACTTGGGGGAAGGGGCCTAATGCTATGAAACAGCCAGCTTTGTGGAGAACTGAGGGAACAGTATGTGCAAAGGCTCTGAGGTAGGAAGAAGCCAGTGTATTCTAGAAGCTGTCAGAAAGCTAGATCATGGAGTGTGCTGGGTAGGAGGTGAGGCCAGAAAAGCTGATAGGACCTCTGGCCTGAAGCAGCTTCTCAGTGTATTTTCTCAAACAAAAAGTATTCCCTTTTCAAGAGATGCTGGTACAAGCTGTAGGACAGAAATGTCATGATCCTGAAACCCTGCATCTTAAATACTTGTGTCGCTGGCAGGGCGGGGTGGTCGGCATCACCATCGACTGGAACTGTGACCTGGACTGGCACGTGAGACACTGCAAGCCAGTCTATGAGTTCCACGGGCTGTATGAGGAGAAAAATCTGTCTCGAGGCTTCAACTTCAGGTGCCTGCCAGGCCCCCACTGGTCTACCCTCCTCAGAGCCCACTGGGTTTTTCTGCTCCCAGAATCCCTTGGGGCAAAGCAGGTGTTCCTGGGAGGGGAGCAGAGGAGCCTGGGCAGCTCCCTTCCTGCCTGGGATTGGACAAGCAGGGGGCCAGCAGGGAGCAAGACCTTGAAGGCTTGACTTCCCTTGCCTGTGGGCCTCCATTCCCTAGAGGCCCACCTGGCCAGGAGGGGCTGAGGAAATTGCTGACATCAGGAATTGGGTCAAGGGTTGAGTGCGGCTTCCTGTAATTGTTGATATGAAGCCTAAGATCCTCCCTATGACTCGTCCTTTGTGACCCTGGGCTAGACCTTGTCCCTCCCTGCGTCACCTTCTCTACATAATACATGGGAGAAGGGCTGTACTCTTGGTCCTCTAAGCACTCTTATAGCCCTGACGCTCTGAGAACACCAGACCAAAGATGGTTCCATTACTCTCTTCGGCAACTCACTTCTTCCCCTAGATTTGCCAGGTACTTTGTGCAGAATGGAACCAACCACCGTCACCTCTTCAAGGTGTTTGGGATTCGCTTTGACATCTTGGTGGGTGGTAAGGTGAGTGTCCAGCCTGAGTGGGAGAGGGAGTAGGCAGACACAGTCTCTCAGTTCCTGCATGTTTGTGGTTATGACGACCAGAAGTCAGATGGGACCCATTCAACAGTTCTTGCTTCTGATAATATGGGGTGCGGATCATTCAAGGGCAAGGCTTTCCAAACTGTAACCATTCCTTTTCCATTGTCTCTGTGTCCAGGAGGGCAGAGTTAAGATCAACATCCAGGTCTCCTGGCCAACAGCTGGGTCCCCATCCGGAGCCAGAGCCCCTAAGCTATAGGAACAGTGTACAGTCGAGGATGGGGAAGCCTCCTTATCCTGGCCTGGCCTGTCCTTAAAGATTCTGGGAGAGGTTTTGTCCAGCCAGGGCCCTTCTGGCTGTTAACCCTTTCTTCCCTTGGTCTTTCCACCAGGCCGGGAAGTTTGACATCATCCCCACAATGACCACCATTGGCTCTGGCATTGGCATCTTCGGGGTGGTAAGTTCTGGGGTCATGGGGTCATAGGGTCACTGTGATGGGGTCACCTCCTCCAGTTCTACATCTTAGTAGCAGCAGCAAGTCACTAGCTCTAAAACTTGTCCATAACTGACCATCGTTATCTAGCCAATAGCTACCGACCTCAGCACCCTATACCTACAGCACATCCATGGAAACCAAAGCCCAGAGCCAGGGCAGGAGAGAGGTGGAGTGGGCAGTCGTGGACCCCCAAGGGTCCTGCAATGCCTCATCCACTCTCCAGCCCCGCAGCTCAATGGAAGAACCTGACGCCTAGAGTAGGGTAGGATTCTATCAGGGCTCCACAGTCCATTGGGACTGAGGTAGGATGTAGAGGGCTCTATACTTGCCCCACCCCGATTGCCATGCTCTCTCCTCTCCCTCTGGCCCCTAGGCAACAGTTCTCTGTGACCTGTTGCTGCTACACATCCTTCCCAAGAGGCACTATTACAAGCAGAAGAAGTTCAAGTACGCAGAGGCCATGGGACCAGGGAAGGTAAGAGGACACTCTAAGTCAGGCCCTTCAAAGGCTTCAGGTCCATGTATCTGTGTTGGGGGTGCCAGCTGCTTCCCTAGAGTTGACTTTTGTCTCACACACATACACAGGATGAGCGTGACCTCGCAGCCACCAGCTCCATCCTGGACCTGCAGGAGAACATGAGGACATCTTGACCCTTGGCCCCTGACCCCTGACTGGATGTAGCATGAGGCGTCGGGACAGGGCTCTGGTGGCATCTTAGCCAGGACAAAGGGTCTCCCGAGGACCTCTGCTTCCCCCTCAGCCAGTCAAACACCAGGCCGCCTGAAGCTCAGGGTGGACCTGAAGAGAGACCTATGTGATTCTGGACTCTGACTCCAACTCCAAATACCTCCAAGGCTGCCCCACTCTAGCCTCAGTCACTCCTGGTCAGAAGGGCGGGGGCTGGCAGGTACACCTAGATTTTCACTGCTCTCTCTGGACCCTTAGTATTTATTCCCATCTTAGTGTCTACATCTGTGCTTTCCAATGGGGCAGCCACTAGCCACAGTGACTATTTAAATTAATTTAAAAGGAATAAAATGAGAACTTCTGGTGGCTGCCATATTGGACCACAGAGAACACTCTCATCATCACAGAAAGTTCTGTTGGGCAGCTCTGCTTGAGCCCTGTTTCTCCTGGCCTCAGACTTCCCTGAGGAGCTAAGCCACACAGCATGTACCTGGGCCCCTCCAGACTTCTTGGGCCATAATCTGGAGTGCTAAGCCACATGATTGGCGTGGTTAGCTAATTCCCTGGGCCATTTTGAAACCTAAGTTTCAGAACCACTGCCCTAGAACTTTCTGACTCTAAGCCCCTGTTCAGGTGCAGACTTAGGCCTGGGACTGTATCACCCAGCAGGTGGGGGCACTGAGCAGGGTCTCAGACAGTCAAAGCATCTGTGTGGTTTCCACACATGTCACACATTGTCTCGTGTACACATTCTCATGTGCACATCCACACACATGCACACACCCCTCCTACCCCACTGTGTACTTGAGCTTGACCCCTGCAAACACAACCATCCAGACAGACCTACACCTTCAAGCACAAGCACATGGTCCATCCCATGTGACCTCCATGGGGAAATGCTCCTCCTCACGTGTCAGGCTAGGACAATGCCTTCCATCCAAGAATCCTTACTCAGCTACCTCGCATCTGGGTGGGAGCTTCGGTCAGATCCTTGGCTCCCTGCCTATGGCCCAACCCCAGCTCCCAAGACCTGCCTGACCCTGTCTGAACACAAGATCTGGGGAAAGTGAGGGGTGAAGTATAATAAAAGGAACGAGGATAAATCTCTGCCTTCTGTACTTTCTTCTTGGCTCTCTCTGAACTTCAATGTGCCCATCTGTGAAATGGGAGACTGAGCTGAGAAATCTCTGAGGTCCCTCTTGGGTGAGCTCATTCGTGTGTGTGTGTGTGTGTGCGCGCACGCACTTTTTAAAAAATTTTTATTGTGATTTGGGTGAAAGTTTACAGAGCAAATTCATTTTTCATACAGCAGTTCATACATATTTTAATAACCTTGACTGCAATTCCCCACAATGTAACAGCTCTCTCCCCACTTCCTCCCTGTAATTACCTCTTCCTGGTGTCCTTTCCTATACTTCCCTGCCGCCCCCCACCCCTCAAAGCCATCTCCCTGTGCAAATACTGCCCTTCTGTTCTCCCACGACTGATCACTCTAAGGCGTGTATCTACCTAATGTAAATGTTCACCCCATGTGCCTGCCTATTGTTCGGCTTGAAGCCATGGGAGTGAGTTCAATTCCAGACCTGAAGGGTAACCAGAGGCCACAGTCTCAAGGTCTCACCAGGGTCAATCAGAACAGTAAACCTGGTCATTTTTATGATTTTGAGTTTGTTCCACATTGTTCTCCCGCTCTATCCCAGATCTCCTGCACTGATCCCTTTCCGAGTAGTTGACTGATGGTAGGTGGGCACTGTCTAGTTTTGGTCTCATGGTCATATAGGCTGAAGTTCACATGGTCTACTAGTCCCTTGGACTAATTGTTTCCATGCATCTTTGGTTTTCTTCATTCTTCTTTGGGGGTGAGCTCATTCTTATGCCCTGAGCCCAGCAGGGTCAGTGCTGGGAGTCAGCTCACCTTTGTCCGTGGGCTGCTATCTTGGCACAGCACTGAACCTTGGACTTCTCTAATCCTCCACAAGCCCCTCCTACGGTTCTGGGAGGCCTGGTGCTATGGCCAGTAGAGAACACCAGGAGTAGTCTCACGGAAAGTAGAGGTGAGAAGGGGGCTGGCTGTCCCAGGAGGGACCTCCCAAGAGGGAAGGAGGGTTTAACTGGAGAAAGCTTGGAAGGTTTCTCCAGAGGCCTCACTGTGGGCATGACCTCTAGGCTGAAGCGAAGCATCTCCAGCCCCAGCAGCTCTGGGCAAACACCCCGCCACCCCGCCCCGTATTGCATGCTCTGTCTAGACCAAAGCAATCCAACAGAACTTTCTGCAGTGATGGAAACATTCTCTCTCTGTGCTGCCCAATCTAGTATCTACTAACCACATACGGAAGGTCCCTGGGTGGTGCAAAGGGTCTCTGCTTGACTGCTAACCTAAAGGTTAGTGGTTTGAACCTACCCCGTGGTACCACAGGAGAAAGGCCTGGCAATCTGCTTCCATAAAGATTACAGAAAAAAAAAAAAAAGTATGGAGCAGTTCTACTTTATAACACAGAGGGGCATCATGACTTAGCATCAACTCAGTGGCATTGGGTTTGTTTTTTGACCACTGAGCACTTAAAATGTGGCTAATGCAACAGAACCACTGAACTTTTAAATTTTATATACTTTAATTTAAATAGCCATGCATGACCACTGGCTGTCTGATACAGTGGCTGCTCCCCTCTTCCTCAGGCCCTTAGCTGCCTGACCCCTTTCCCAGTGAAGAACAGCCCTCAGATTTTATGAGTCAGGAACTCCCTCTTCTGTCCTCTTTCCTTCTCCACATCTACCTGCTCTTGCACCTGAAGAGTAGGAAAGGCCTCCCCCGTATCCCGCCCCATCTACGCCAAACCCAGCCATCTCCCTCTCGGCCTTCCTCTCTTCTCTCCCACCCTTGTATTTCCTCCCCTCTTTTGCCTCCTCTCCCTCGTTTCCCAGCAGCTCTGCCTGCTCCCCCTCTACTGCCACCCTTCCAGAAAGACCAGTCTACACTTTCCTCTGTGTCCTCACTCTCTGTGATTGCCTTCCACCTCCCCCGCTTCTAGACGCCCTTGCCAAGGGCACCAGCCCTTATCCTGCTTGGCCTCTCAGCATCTGACACTGTTGACCAAGCCTTCCCCATTGAAACATTTCCTTCCAGCAGCTCCTAGGACCCACCCTCCCCTGATTTTCCAGCCAGCCTGATGTGCAGGGAAAAGACAAGCTTGAATTGCAGCATACTGTGTGTCCTTGGGCAAGTTGCTTAACTCTCTAAGCCTCTGTGACTCAGGGATAATAATAGCCTCTCCTCGGGTTGGGGTGAGATGTCGCAGGGTCTGGCGCTTGGCAGTGCTCTGTCCTCAATCTAGCCACGTTGTCAATGGTGGAGTCAGCTAGTTGTCCTCAGATAGCTATTCTCCCTATGGTGATACAACCCCTGGTTCCTGGCCAGGCATGTGGCTGCTCAGAATGGAAGCTGGACTTCCCAGACTCATATTGAGTCTGGTCACGTGACTAAGTTCTAAACAATGGGATGTACGTAGAAGTGTCATGTGATACCTGGGAACTTGACTTACAAGGGAGGTGGTCCAGATCCTTCTTGTTCTTCATCCTCCTCTCCATCCCACTGCTTGGGAACATGTATGTGATAGCTGGAGCTCTAGCTGCCGTCCTGAACCATGAAGACCCCCAGGTTGCTGGAGCAGAGAGGAGAAGGAGCCCCAAAGTCCATAGGCTGTGGACCAGAGCTACCATGTTAGCCCACAACCACCTTTCTGCAGGCTTTTGTGGGAGATTTCCGTTACCCGAGCCTAACCTGATCCTACCTGGTTCGGAATTCTTTTCCCCTTAAATGTAAGTGTTTCAGGGCTCTGTCCTTAGTCCCTGTTTTATTTGCTCTGGTTGATCTCATCCGTTCCCATGGCTCTGCTTACAATATGGGTTCTTTCTGATGACTCCCCAAAGTCTCTCTAGCCCAGCCCTCTTTCCTGAACTCCAGGCCCCGCCCCATATCCAATACTCTATTACCACACCCAACCAGTTATTCATTCATCAAACATCTATTGAGCACCTAAGATGTGTCAAGCTGTTTGCTGGAGGAGTCACGCACAGTTCCCGTCCTCAAGGAGTTACCAGTCCAGAGGGGAACAGACAGGTAAACAGATGCTGGCTACAAAGAAGTCCCTAGGAGGGACAGTTAACTCATGGTAGACAGTGAGGAGGCAATGGGGGAACGTTTCCTGCAAAAGGGACATTGAATAAAGTCCTAAAAGACAAATAGGTATTAGATAGGTAGGTGGGAGTGAGGTCATGGAAGACTTGATTTGACCCATTCTCAGGGCAATAGGAAGCCATTAAAGATTCATAAACAAGAACTGACTAGTTGGACTTGTGTTTCTGAAAGATTGCTCTGGCTACCAGGTGGATAAAGGCTAACAGAGTGAGAGTGGAAGTGGGAGGCCAGTGAAGAGGCACCTGTTGCAGCATTCTAGGTACAAGATGGGTGTGGCCTGTGCTAGGGGAGGGTGAGCAAAGGGTGGAAAGAGTAGATGGATCCTAGAGATACTTAAGAGGTAGCATGCGCAGGGCTTAAGGAGCTCTGATGGTGTAGTGGTTAAGGCATTTGGCTGTTAACCAAAAGGTTGGTGGTTCTAACCCACCAGGAAGATGGGGCTGTCTTTGTAAAGATTTATAACCTTGGAAACCCAGTGGGGGTCACTTTGAGTTGGAATCGACTCAATGTCAGTGAGTTTGGTTTTGGTTTGGGTTATGGGCAGGGCTTAGTCATCAACTGGTTGAGATAAAAAATGGGTAGTCTGGTTATTCCCAGGCTCTGGCTCTAATTTCTGAGATAGAGACATAGGAGGTCAGGTTTTGGGGAAGAGATGTGGGGCCCTGTCCAGGCAAGTGGTGGGGTGAGATGCCAGAAGGATCCACAAATGGAGAGCTTAATATACCTGAACCAAAAGTTGATGAGGTAACCAGGCGAGGAGGGAGTGCA